AATTTTTTTATTTTATTTGGTTCAACAACAAAATCAAAAATACACATTAATTAATTAATTGAAAAGTTTGTTTTATAATAATCAAATATATAATTTTGAGACAATCAAATAAGTTTTAGTAATTGAAAAAAAAAATGTGGAAGAACGTGGAAGATTAAAAAAAATTAACAACCATCTCTCTCACTCTCACTCTCACTCTCACTCTCTCTCCCTACATGTTATAAGAACCTGAGTACAATGTTATAAAGAGCCTGTTTGAAGAAATAAAATGTGAAAGAACTATTTGGAAGAAAGTGTTATAAGACTCATATAAAATTGGCATCAGGGCATAAACAATGAATTGTTTTGTTGACCTCTTAGCCACGGACATTTTAGACATTAAACCATCTTTCTCTTAGCAATTTGAACATTCATTTTAATTTATCCAAAACTAATTATAGCTTTAACAAATCTGAACCACTCATTTTAAGATATCTATCCATTACCTCACCCAATCCATCCTCATCTTCTTCCTTTAGTCCCCCACGAATTATGTTGTTTGTTGCTTTTAAAAATAAAAAAATGTTTTTTCAATTAAATTTTTACTAATTTCACAACACCATCACCACTATTCTCACTTTCACTGTCACGCTACCCTTCCACCATAGCCACTCCATCATCACTGCCGCCATCACCCCACCACTATGTAACAATCTCTACTTTCACCTTCCGTTCCATCACCAACCCCACCAAATATAAAAAATATATTTTTAATTTTTTTAATAAAAAATATTTTTTCATTAAAAAAATATTTTCTATTCTAAATAAATGAAGCCATAACATTGGGAAACAAGCTTGAATTTCATTTAAATCTGTTCATACTAAGAAAAATTCTTTTAATTTAAAAAAATTATTTAGTAAGACTTTGTATTCCCTTTTTGTTTTTCTAGCAAATAAATCTTTGTACCATCATTTCTAACCAATCACGACTCATGCTTGTTTTGATTCTCTACAATTTTCTTATTTTCAAAAATACATTCATATTATCTATATATAATATATAATAATATATATATATATGTGTATAAATTGTGTGATAACATAAAACAAATAAATTCATACTCGTTAATTGAAATTTCAGAACAAGCAAATCATTTGAAAATTACAATCATACAAAATAAAAATAACATGGAAAAGCAACCGAAACCTACACTGACAGTGTCCTTAATTTTTTTAAATAAATTTAAAAAATTCTAGATATGACATAAAATTTGACAAGAATAATGTAACAATGTTAATTAATGTGTATTTGATTTTATTGTTGAGCAAATAAAATAAAATAAGATTGGAAGTATATTTAGCTTTGGTTGTGAATTCTTAAAAAAAAAAAAAAAAAAAAAAAAAAAAAAAAAAAAAAATTGGTTGTGAACCTTAAAAAAAAAAAAAATTTAAAAAAAACAAAAGAACATTGAATGTATATTTAGTTTTGGTTGTGAATCTTAAAAATTAAAAAAAAAATGGTTGTGAACCTTAAAAATAAAATAAAAAAAAGATTTGAGGTATATTTAGCTTT